CTCAGGCTCTTCCAATTTGGGCTGGGGTTCTGGGTTTAGGTCCTGCTGCCTCTGGACGGGAAGTGCTGGATTCTGGGCTGATGTCCACTGGCTTCACCTTCTCCCCCTTCACAGGCCCTCTCCTCTCATCGCCAACTCTGCAGTGCTCCCTGGAGGCCTGTGGTCCCTGTCCCTGCCACTCAGGCACCTCTACTCTCTGGGCAGGGCCATCAGAATTCTCAACCCCAGGGACTCGGGGCTGCCCCTCAGGCACCTCTACTCTCTGGGCAGGGCCATCAGAATTCTCAACCCCAGAGACTCAGGGCTGCCAGGAAGGGTCCAGGCTCTGTTCACCCTGCTCTTGATGTGGATGGGAGAGTCTGATCAGGGGAAGGCCTGCAGCGGGGAGGGGCTGCGAAGTTGGCTGCTGGCCCCACCACCTGATCAGGCCATGTGCTGGCTATAGTGGGTGTCATAGCGACTGGCCCATGTTCTGCTTGCTCACCATTCCCCAGTCCCAACACCACCTCCACTGCCGGGCTAACAGGCCTTTGGGATCACCAGCTCACAGCACCTGCTTTCCCACAGGCCTGAGGCTCTCAGGCCTGTGGGAAAACAGGCGCCAGTGACTTCAACTGCACGCATGTGTGCCCGGGTGGCGGCTGATGGAACGCACTGCCCGCTTGGGGCCGCTCACACCTGGGCGGGCAGGTCGAGGGCACTGCCGCCACCGCTACTGCCACTGCCGCTGCTGCTGCTGCTGCTGCTGCTGCTGGGGCTTGAGGCACTGAGGCTGCCAGCTACCTACCCACCCCAGGTTGGGTGGCACATAGGATGCGCTGGCCGGCCGATCGCTGCTGCCGTCCCGTGTCCCTTCACACAGGGGATACCGGGTCGGGTACCCGATCACTGCGGTCCCACCAGCCAACCCCCAGGTCCCCCGTGGGAGGGCCTGATGAGGGTGGGGCAGGTGCCCGATCACTGTGGTTCTACCCGCCAGCCCCGTGTCCACCGCGGGAAGGCCGGATTAGGACGGGGTGGGTGCCTGATCACCGCGATCCCACCCGCCAGCCCTGGGTCCCCCTCCGGAGGCCCGGATGAGGGCGGGGCAGGTGCCCGATCACCGTGGTTCCACCTGCCAGCTCCGTGTCCACCGCGGGAGGCCTGGATGAGGGCGGGGACCTCTGCCACCAGCCCCTGATAGAGGCGAGCTGGCGTTGGCACTGTCCCGCCTTGCCTGCAGTATGCAAATTAGTCACCCTCTTGGCTGGGGGTTAATTTGCATATCGCCCTGATTAGCCAATGAAAAGGGTAGCGGTCGAACGCTAATTACCATGTTTCTCTATTATTAGAAAGGACTAGAGGCCTGGTGCACAAAAATTTGTGCACTCGGGGGGAGGGGGGCTCCCACAGTCCGGCCTGTGCCCTCTCGCAGTCTGGGACCCCTCGGGAGATAACGACCTGCTGGCTTAGGCCTGCTCCCGGGTGGCAGAGGGCAGGCCCAATCCCTAAGTGCAGCCCCTGGTCGGGCTCAGAGCAGGGCCGATTGGGGATTTGGGGTGCCACCCCCTATCATGCACAGAGCAGGGCAGATTGGGAGGTTGTGATGCTACCCTCAGTCACGCGCAGGGTAGGGCCTATTAGGGGGTTGGGGCACCACCCCCTGTCACACTCAAGGCAGGGTGGATGGGGAGGTTGTGGCGCCACCCCCTGTCATGCACAGAGCAGGGCCTATCAGGGGGGTTGGGGCTCCGTACCCTGTCATGCACAAAGCAGGGTGCATCAGGGGGTTGGGGAGCTGCCCCCTGTCATGCACAGAGCAGGGCCCATCAGGGAGGTTGGGGCTCCGTACCCTGTCACGCACAGAGCAGGGCCCATCAGGGGGTTGAGGAGCTCCCCCCTGTCACTAACAGAGTAGGGCTGATAGGGGAGTTGGGGCACCGCCCCCTGTCACACTCAGGGCAGGGCGGATCAGGGGGTTGGGGCGCCGCCCTCTATCACCCACAGAGCAGGGCCGATCAGGGGGTTGGGGTGCCGCCACTGTCACACTCAGGGCAGGGCCGATGGGGAGGTTATGGCTCTACCCCATCACACACAGAGCAGGGCCCATGGGGGGGCGGGGCGGTTGGGGCGCCGCACCTTGTCACACACAGAGCAGGGCTGCTCAGGGGGTTGGGGCGCCACACCCTGTCACACACAGAGCCGCAGGGCGATCAGGGGGTTGGGGAGCTCCCCCCTATCAGGCACAGAGCAGGGCTGATCAGGGGGTTGGGGCGCCACCCTCTATCACCCACAGAGCAGGGCCGATCAGGGGGTTGGGGCGCCACCACTGTCACACTCAGGGCAGGGCTGATGGGGAGGTTATGGCTCTACCCCATCACGCACAGAGTAGGGCCCGTGGGGAGGGTAGTTGGGGCGCCACCCTCTATCACCCACAGAGCAGGGCCCACCAGGGGGTTGGGGCGCCGCCACTCACACACTCAGGGCAGGGCCGATGGGGAGGTTATGGCTCTACCCCATCACACACAGAGCAGGGCCCATGGGGGGGGGGGGATTGGGGCGCCGCAACCTGCCACACACCGAGCAGGGCCAATCAGGGGGTTGGGGAGCTGCACCCTGTCACACACAGAGCCGCAGGGCGATCAGGGGTTTTGGGCGCTGCCCCCTGTTAGGCTGAGCCCGGTGCTGGGAGGCCTCTTGGCTCCGCTGATCCCGGTGCTGGGAGGCCTCGTGGCTCCACTGATCCTGGTGCTGGGAGGCATATTACCCTTTTACTATATAGGATAGAGGCCTGGTGCATGGGTGGGGCTGGCTGGTTTGCCCTGAAGGATGTCCTGGATCAGGGTGGAGGTCCCCACTGGGGGGCCTGGCCAGCCTGGGTGAGGGGATGATGGCTGTTTGCAGCTGGCCACACACCCTTCAGGGTGGGGGTCCCCACTGGGGTGCCTGGCCAGTCTGGGTGAGGGGCTGAGGGCTGTTTTCAGGCTGACTGAAGCTCCCAACTGCTCCTTTTTTTCTTTTCTTTTTTTCATTCTCGGCCAGCTTTAGCTCTGGATCCAGCTCTGAGGCTTTCAGCTTTAGCTCTGGCTCCAGCTCTGAAAGCAGGTATCTGGTTTGTTTGTGTTCTATAATCGAAACTCTGTATCAACTCCAGCTCTGAGATCCCGGGCTCACTGAAAGCAGGTTTCTGGGGTTTTGTTTAGCTTCTATATTTGTTACAATGTTTCTTAAACTGCAGGCTCAGAGGCCGGCAAGGCAGGCGGGGAATGATGGAGTCCTCCGTCACTGAAGCAAGCAAACCTCATGTTAGTTTCAAGCTGCCTGGCTGCCGGCCGCCATCTTGGTTGGCAGTTAATTTGCATATCTTGCTGATTAGCCAATGGGAAGGGTAGCGGTTGTACGCCAATTACCATGTTTCTCTTTTATTAGATAGGATAACAGAGTGACCAATGAGGAAAGCACGGGGGTCCTAAATTAAGGAAAGGAACCAATTGAAAAGGATCAGGTTCAGACAGAGAACTGCAGCATATATAAACCGGAGACAAAGGGACACAAGACAGATTTTAGATTTTGGATTTTTTTTTTTTTTCCAGAGAGAGAGAGAGAGAGAGGAGGCTTTTCCTATTTGGGGGCCCCCCTGGCCAGATGGAGTTTGTATATGCTTCCAATAAACTTCTACACTTGTATTAAAGAAATATGTTAGTCCATGAATTTATTCTTCAACTTTGTCGGACAAGGACCCACAAGAAGTCTGCACCCCAAAAGCCACATTTCATTACAAAATTCAGAATAAATATATTTCTTAAAAATATGTAGTAATAGCCCTGGCTGGTTTGACTCAGTGGATGGAGCATTGGCCTGTGGCTGAAGGGTCCCAAGTTTGATTCTGGCCAAGGGCACATGCCTTGGTTGAAGGCTTGGTCCCCAGTGGGGGCCATGCAGGAGGCAGTTGATCAATGATTCTCTCTCATCATTGATGTTTCTATTTCTGGCTCTCTCTCCCTTCCTCTCTTTAATCAATAAAAAAATATACTTTAAAAAATGTAGTAATAATGTAAATATGTATAAAAATAACAGTTTAAAGAATTAGAAGTGGTTGGAAAGAGAATTAGAGGGTAAAATTGTTCTTGTTGCCATTTTTTTTTTTTTTTTTGGTGCCATTTGACCTTGTTAAATTCTGTGCGTATTACTTTGGTAGAAGTAAAACAATTTATGATAATTTTTATTTATTTATCTTTTTAAAATATATTTCTTTATTGATTTCAGAGAGGAAGGGAGAAGGAAAGAGAGATAGAAACATCAATGATGAGAGAGAATCATTGATCGGCTGCCTCCTGCACACCCCCTACTGGGGATAGAGCCCACAACCCAGGCATGTGCCCTTGGCCGGAATCGAACCTGGGACCCATCGGTCCGCAGGCTGACGCTCTACCCACTGAGCGAAGCCGGCTAGGGCTATGATAATTTTAAAAAAATTAACACTCCCCATAAAGAGAGAGAATTTTAGTTTGTTTTAATTATAACTCTGATTCAACTGGGATTTTGTGTTGGTCAAAGGTAGGTAACTGGAAGTGTCTGCTTTTTCCTCCCAAATAGGTTACAAACTCCCAGGACAACTTATTGTTTAGTCCTATTTCCCCCCATGATTTGAGATATTTTTATTTATATTAGAGTGTTTCTACTTTATGTGCCTTGCCCTGGTACCACACTGATTTGAACTAGAGTGAGAATGAGTTTACTGTATGAAGATTGAAGAAAAAAGAATAGGATGTGCAAAGGTACAATTCTATAAAAGCAGGTGCCTGGGAAATGCATCGATTGGAGGACTGAGAGTAAAGCATGTTGAAAGCGCAACAGAAAGTGTCATTAGTAAAAACGAAGACCTGCACAGTCCTTTTGAGAGCAACTGCTGTGCCTCACAAGCTGTAACCCCCGTTGACCAGACACGGAGCCTGAGGGGGGGCCGACGGGGCGTGCGCGCAGCCGGCGCAGGACGGGATTGGTGCGGCCCTGGGGGCGGGGCGAGCGTCAGCAGGAGGGGCTCGCGGTCCTCCTGCGCCATGCCGGCCGGCGCCGAGCCGCGAGCCCACCGGCCTGGAGTCGGGGTGGGCGTAGTGGTGACTAGCTGCAGGCACCCTCGCTGTGTCCTCCTGGGAAAGAGGAAGGGGTCATTTGGAGCTGGCAGTTTCCAACTCCCCGGGGGTCATTTGGAGTTCGGGTAAGCGGCCACCTGGGCGGCCGGGGGAGGCGGGACGCGCCCGAGAGGACCAGCCCGTTCCCTGTGCCGCGCTGCGTCCTTTTCGCGCATGCGCCCTTTGCTTCTCTCGGAGCTCGCGAGCGCCGGCCGACAGGGGGCCGCGGAGCTGGATAAGGGGGAGAAAGGAGGTCCTCGCCGAGTGCCTTCATCTCCGCGCCTGCTTACTGGTTGGTTTGTGAGAGGTGTTTTTCTTAGTGCTTCCACAGAAAAGACACGAAAACGGTGTTTATAAACCTCGAGCAGGCCCGCGTTGCCAGTTAAGACATTTGCGCTGTTTACCGGTAATTTAAACGTACGCAGATATATTGTCCAGTTGCGGACCAGTGAAACTTTCTGAGCCTCAGTTTCCCCATCTTTAAAATGCAGAAGGACAACGAAGTACTCTTGAAAGTCCCTCTTTGCTTTGGCGTTCTGTGATTTGTTGATATATCAGACAAAGATGGGCAGTTTAGAGGCAATTCAAAGGTTAATAAAATTTTCAAATCTCTAACGCTGACCCATGGTATGTTGAAGAATATGGGTCCACCTATTTCTTTATTGTTGAAAGTATTACATATGTCCTCCTTTTCCCCCCATTGACCCATTCTAGCTGCCCCCCGCCCCCACCCTAGGCCTTCACCACCCTATTGTTTGTGTCCATGGATTATGCATATATGCATACAAGTTCTTTGGTTAATCCCCCCCCCCCCCCCCCCCCCCCCCGCCCTTTCCCTCTGAGATTCTGCAGTCCGTTGTTGTCCATGTTTCTAATTCCCTTGGAGCTATTTTGTTCATCAGTTTATTTTGTTCATTAAATATGAGTGATATCATGTGATACTTGTCTTTCTCTGACTAGCTTATTTCGCTTAGCATAATACTCTCCAGGTCCCTCCAATCCTGTCTCAAAGGGTAAAAGATCCTTCTTTTTTACAGCTGCAGAGTAAACCATGGTGTAAATGTGCCACAGCTTCTGGTCCACTCATTTACTGATGGGCACTTGGGCTATTTCCAGATCTTAGCTATTGTAAATTGCTCTGCTGTGAACATAGGGGTACATACATTTTTTCTGTTGGTGTTTCAGGTTTCTTAGGATATATTCCTAGAAGTGGGATCACTGGGTCAAATGGCAGTTTCATTTTTAATTTTTTGAGAAACTCCGTACTATTTTCCATAATGGCTGCACCAGTCTGCATTCCCACCAGCAGTGTAGTAGGGTTCCCTTTCTCCACATCCTTGCCAGCACTTGTCATTTGTTGATTTGTTGATGGTAGCCATTCTGACAGGTGTGAGGTGATACTTCATTGTCATTTTAATTTGCATCTCTCAGATGATCAGTGACTTGAGCATTTTTTTGGATGACCTCTTTGGAGAAGTGTCTATTCAGATCTTTTGCCCATCTTTTAATTGGATTGTTTGTCTTCCTTTTGTTAAGTTGTATGAGTACCTTATATATTTTGGATAATAACCCTTTGTTAGATGTACCATTGGCAAATATGTTCTCCCATACAGTGGGCTCCCTTTTCATTTTGTTGATGGTTTCTTTTGCTGTGCAGAAGCTTTTAATTTTGATGTCATCCCATTTGTTTATTTTCTCCTTACTTTTCCTTTCCCCCTGGGAGATGTGTGGGTAAACATATTGCTATGAGAGATGTCTGAGATTTTGCTGCCTATGGTTTCTTCTAGGATTTTTATGGTTTCATGACTTAAATTTAAGTCTTTTATCCATTTTGAGTTTATTCTTGTGTATGGTGTAAGTTGGTGTTCTACTTTCATTTTTGTTGCATGTATCTGTCCAATTTTCTCAACGCCATTTATTGAAGAGACTGTCTTGACTCCATTGTATGTTCTTGCCTCCTTTGTCAAATATTAATTGAGTATAATGGCTTGGGTTGATTTCTGGGGTCTTTGTTCTGTTCTATTGATCTATATACCTGTTCTTGTGCCAGTACCAAATTGATTTGATTACAGTGGCTTTGTAGTATAACTTGATATCTGGTATTGTGATCCGTCCAACTCTTCTTTCTCAAGATTGCTGTGGCTATTCGGGGACATTTTTGGCTCTGTAGAAATTTTTTGGAGTATTCTAGTTCTGGTATTTTAATAGGGATTGCATTGAATCTGTAGATTGCTTTGGGTATAGTATGGACATTTTAAAGATGTTAATTCTCCCAATCCATGAACACACTATATTCTTCTACTTGCTTATGTCTTCCTCTATCTCTTTTTTCAACATCCTGTAGTTTTTTGAGTACAAGACTTTTATCTCCTTGGTTAAGTTTATTCTTGTTTTGTTATTGTTGCAGTGGTAAATGGGATTGTTTGTTGAGTTTCTCTTTCTGAGAATTCATTATTGGTATATAAAAATGCCATCCATTTCTGAGTGTTAATTTTATATCCTGCTACATCGCCAAATTCCTTTTTTAAAGCTAGTATTTTTTGTGTGTGGAGTCTTTAGGGTTTTCTATATACAATATGTCATCCGCGAATAATGAGAGTTTTACTTTCTCCTTACCAATTTGGATGCCTTTTATTTCTTCTTCTTATCTGATCTTTGTGGCTAGGACTTTCAGGGGAAAGTGGGCATCCCAGTCTTGTTCCTGTTCTTAGGGGAAATGGTTTTAGTGTTTGCCCATTGACTATGACGTTGGCTGTAGATTTGTCATATACGGCCTTTATTATGTTGAGATAGGATCCTCTAGTCCTACTTTGCTGAGAGTTTTTATCAAAAACTAGAGGCCCAGTGCACAAATTTGTGCACAGGTGGGGTCCGGCTGGCCTGCTCCAATCAGGGTCGATGGGGCCAGGCCAGCGGGGGGAGGGGCCGCAGGCGGTTGGCTGGCCGGCCCTGCTTCTTGGTTGAATTCCCGGTCGAGGGGACAATTTGCATATTAGCCTTTTATTATATAGGATGGGTGTTGGATTTTGTCAAATGCTTTTTCTGTGTTTACTGTTATGATCATGTTTATGTGATGTATCACGTTTATTGATTTGCAGAATATTATAACAGCCTTGCATCCCTAGAATAAATCCCACTTGGTTGTGGTGTATACTCTTTCTAATATATTTCTAGACCTGATTTGATCATAATTTGTTGAGGATTTTAGCATCTGTGTTCATTGGGGATGTTGGCCTGTAGTTATCTTTGTAGTGTCTTTATCTGGTTTTGGAATTAGGATAATGTTGGCCTCATAAAAAGAGCTTGGGAGTGTTCCTCTTCTTGGATATTTTGGAATAGTGTGAGAAAGATAGGTGTTAGTTATTTTTTGAAGCTTTGGTAAAACTCTCCTGTGAAGTTAGGACCAGAGCTTTTGTTTGCTGGGAGTTGTTTTTTTTTTATTACTGCTTCTATTTATCAGTTGTTATTGGCCTATTCAGGTTTTCTGATTCAGTTTTGGGAGACTGTATTTTTTTTTTTTTTTTTTTTTTTAGGAATTTGTCCATTTCGTTCACATTATCCAGCTTGTTGGCATATAGTTGTTTACAGCATTTTCTTACAATCTTTGTATTTCTATGGTATCAGTTGTTACTTCTCTGCTTTCGTCTCTGATCTTATTTATTTGGGTCCTCTTTCTTTGTTTTTTTTTTACTATGAAAAAGTTTTCCTGTAACATCAAGAATTATTTTTGTAAATTTCCACAACAGAAGGATTTGTTGAATACATTAATGCTGTGAATGAGAAAACAATTTGGGGGTAAAACCCACAAGTAAGGTGATCTGACAGAAACTACAGACTGACATCAAATGGACAAAAAACTGAAAAAAATGACAACCAAAATAACACGGAGGGTGGGATGGGGTTGGGGGCACAGTTAAGGCATCTAAAAAACACTCCACATGGCTTTGGCTTATTAAAATATTTTACACTATTAAAAAAAAGATTCAAAAGCATCTGGAAAACATGCAACTTGTTTGAAAACCTTGTATTGCAAATTCAGACAGTTTGCAAGCATTATTCAGATGTTTACCAAGGAAAATAAAGAAGCCTCTCCCATGAGATTGCACATGGTGGGAGATGACCTCCCATTCTATCTTATAGTAGATGGCAAGCCAGAGGTCTGTGCAGCAGTTACAAATAAGGTGTTATTATCTGGGAGAGAAGAGACTGTGGAATTTCCATTGGATGGAGAACAGCCCGGCTTTAGTTTTTCCAGATACTCTGCATGCACAGGCTTATGACATTGGAGAATTTTGATGGCATCTGCTACTTTGAACCACTCTCTCTTCTTTCCTATATTAACAGAATCTTCCCAATCTTCTAATATTTCAGTGACAATAAGAACATAGACATATGTTCTGTGCTTTTGGTCTTGGTTCTCTAATATGCCCAGGAGTCTGCTCAATTTTCTTTTGACTCCAGCCTCTTTATAAACCTCCCTCATCGCAGCACTGCCAGGCTCCTCCTCGCCCATTTGTCTGGGTACCAACTACTGCTCACCAATAACACCTTGTCCTCCTGCTTGGTCCAGAAGCACAGGCACGATGTCCACTTCTTGAAGCCCTTGTGGTTGTAGGTCCGTGTCTGGTTGAGCTTGAACTTCATCTTAGAGGTGAGCTCTGGCGGCCGATTCTCCTCCAGACACCGCCACCCCCCGGGAAGTGGGACCCAGGCGAGTCGGGTGCAGGGGTGTCGGGAGGTGAGGCAGTGGCGCGGGGTGGGCAGCGAGGCCAGTCAGTCCTGGAACCGGCAGCCGCTCCGACGCGGGGCAAGGCAAGAGCATGGGTCACTGGAGCCCGGGTACTGTGGAGGAAGTGCTACCTCTGCTCCGGCATCCGCCGCTCTCCGTGGAGCCTGCTGCCTGCTCGCTTCTGCTCCCTCCTGTTGCCACCGCGGCAGCCGCTGCCGCCACGGGAAGAGGCTCGAGGATCACACCACAAGGAGACAGTTGTGGAGACTCGCTCGGACTCTCTCTTTGTTTCTTGATGAGTCTGGCTAATGGTTCATAAATCTTGTTTATCTTTTCAAAGAACCAGCTCTTGGTTTC